CATTTTGTTGTTGTTGTTGTTGTTTGTTTGTTTGTTTCTTCTTTTTTTTTTTTTTTTTCCTGTTGTTACCATAACCCCATTTTTCTTTTTTCTCTTTATTTATTTTATTTATTTATTTATTTTCGTGCTTATGGGGAAAAAGGATTTGCTGAGCAAAGACGTTCCTCTCTTTTGAATGTGTGCATGAAAAAGGGAAATGGAAGGGGAGGAGTGTGGCGGAGTTGTGTTTGTGTGTGTGAATTGGCCGGCTGCTCTCTCAATGTCTGCTCTTTCCTCCCATCCAACACGTCCCCTTGACAACTTCGCGATGGGGGAGTTTCTTTTGTTGTTGTTGTTTTTTTTTTCTGGAGGGGGGAAGGGGTGGGTCTGTGTAGGGATTGCGGTAGTGGTGGCACGTCCTCACGCATGCAATGGGGACGGTGGCTGGCGAGCTGCAGGGCGATGCGTTTCTCCGTGCCAATTTGGAGTACTTGGCGTCGCTGGAACCACCGGCCATTTGTCCGGTGTTGCCGCGGCTCCCAGGGGGAGCGGGTCTCCTGCCGGACGACTTTCAGTTACCCCCGACGGCAACAGCGGGCGAAGCTGCGTCGATTATCCTGCAGGTGAATGCTGTGGAGGACGTTTCTCTTCCGATGGCGCAGCGATTAAGGGCCATGGCACCACCCGAAACAGCGGCGGTGCAGGACAATGAGACGGAACTCCCCACGGCGGTGGGAGACGAGGCGCGGCAGATTTCAGTGGATGAAGTGCTGCGTTCTATGGAAAGTGACGAGCCCGCGTCGCAGCGACGTGGACGTCGTCAGCGTTTGCTTCGGCTAACCCTTACCGACGGCTTCACGAGGGTGATTGCGGTTGAGGACTGCCGCAAAGGATGTGACGCATTGCGAGGAGGGGTGGCGTGGGGTACCAAACTGCGACTTTATGCCCCGCTGCAAATACGCCACGGTGTGCTCATCTTGAAATCACAGCAGACGGTGATGATGGGTGGGTTTGTGCTGGAGCTACAGGAATTCTGGGAGCGGCATGCAAAGGCAATGCTCGAGGAGATGTCCGGGAGACCCAAGAGGCGAATCCAGCAGCCTGCGGAGGTGCCTTCCAGGGTTGCGCCGGTGCAAATTCACAACGGGGCACGCACCAACGTGGAACATAATTCCGCGTCGTTACCACCACTACCACAGCAGCGGCTGCAGGAAGGAGGAGCAGAAGAAAATGCAGCAGCACCCGCTGCTCCAAGCCATTCCAACACTATGGCCTCCCTACATGGTGCGAATGCCGTGAATCAACCACCCCCACTCTCTTTCTCTCTTTCCGCCTCACAGCCCCAATCTCTTTCTGCGTGGCAATCACATCATCCGCCCACCGCCCCCTTTAGGACAGTTGCAGTAATCAGAGAAGTGACATCGGAATTGACGATTAGAGAAGTCTCTGCGCGTTCTCCGGAGGCATCCAAACGTTTTTCGCTTCTTGTCCTACTGTCAACTCCCCCAGCTGATGTCAACAGCGATGTGCCGACAGGAGAGGCAGAGCTCGTGGTGGATCTGGGCCACAACTGGCTGCAGCAAGCACTCGGCGTGGATCCTGACGCATTTCGCGCCCTGTTCCTTTCGCGCCAACCCGATGACGTTGCAAAGCTTAACACGTTGGTGGAGAGTGTGGGGTGGGAGTTGGAGAACTTTGGCGTCGCGGTCTTCGTGTTGCGTCAGCGCGAGACCGATGGCGTCGTCGAGGTGGTGAAGGTGGAGCGGCTGTAGTGTCGCCCTCCCCTCTGACGTCGTTGTCTGTGTGTGTGGGGGGGGGGGGGGGGAAATCAGACCGGGGGGCGGTGAGTGGGGAGTTCACGACAACCCGAACCAAAAAGAGCGAGGACAAGACGCATGCACGCACGCATACATTCAGATTGGCTCACAGAAGACGGCAACGAAGGGCAAGAATGACAGACAGGGAAAGAGCGAGAGAGAGGAGAAAGATGGTGTTCATTGAAGAATCTCTGGGCACCGAAGGAATCGAAGAAAATGTCATGCCCCTGTTGATCCTAAATGTCTTTTTATCTTTTTCTCTTCTTATCGCTTTACTTCTTTCACCTGCCAAGAGGAACACAACACAACTGAAGTAACACGAGGGTCAACGAGGAATACGGGAAGAAACAAACAACAACAACAAAAAAAAAAAAAAACAATGAAACATTAACGTATTATTCCTGCAAAGAAACCAAATTAGGAAGAATCACAAAGAAGAAAGAAAGAAAAAAAAGGTGTTAAGGACTTGGGGGGGGGGGGGGGAAGGAATGGGCTGCGGCTACTCTGTCTACTCAGAACGGGATGACATCATCTTCAAGCAGAAGGGACCCACCGGAGTAGGAATCCGGAGAATCATTAAGATGTTTAGAAAAGGAAAACGGTCTTTTGTTCCGTCTAAAGATGGACGAAGGGAAGTGGGGCTTCTACAACGACACCAAAGAGTACGAGTTCCATGTGTTCTATACCTTTTATGAAGGGAGCAGTGTGGAGCCCATCGGCGGTACCACGGTTACACGGAATGAAGACGGCACTATAATTGCGGAGATTATTGCGTATCCGCTGGAAACGCTGATTTTTATTGAGGGTGAAATTGATGGTGCCAAGGGGCGAATTGAGGCTTACCCCGTCTCGGAACGCTATAAACGGGAGGCAATTAAGCGTAAAGTCTTGAGGAGCATGTGATTTCCACTTCTTTTTTTTTTTTTTTTTTTTTTCTGTTGTTGCTGCTGTTGGTGCGTGTCCTTCTTCTGCTGCGGGTACTCTGCTTCCTCCTGTCCCTGCGTGCATGGGCTTTTCCCCACCCCTAACCCTGCGGGAAGGACATGGATGGACGGATCCGCACACTGTACTACTTCTCTTTTTCTTTTTTTTTTTCTTTTTTCTTTTTGGCTTCCCCTCCCCTCCTCACGCCTGTTGCGAGCAGCACGGCACCAAGAAGGTACCCAAAGCGAAAAGGGAAACGAACAGGCAAAATAAGTTGTGTGTTGTGTGAGTGAAAAGGGAAATTGTCAAGAAACAACACGACAGGAAGAAGTGAATAGCGTGAAGGAAGATATATAAACATAAAGAAAAAAGAGGAACAGAGAGAGAGAGAAAAGAGAGAAAAAAAAAAAAAACAAGAACAACAAATAAAGGAGAAAACAACAACAAAAAAAAGATATTTGGCCGTGAAGAGAGGGAGTAGCCGGCATCCGTTTTATTTGGTGGCTGGTGTAGACCTGGCAACGAAACCTTTTTTACATAAAATTGGACCAAGAGAGACAGAGAGAGAGGGATACACTTAAACACGTGAATACAGATATTTGTTTGGATATACTTCCAGAGGAATTTAAGGCGAAGAGCAGATAAACATCTTAAAACAACACATTTGATTTATTTTATTTATTTTTATTTTTATTTTGCCTTGCTTGGGTGTACGAATTGCTTGAATTCTCCCGGTTTGGAAAGAAGGAGAGGTGCATATGCGACGAATCCTGCAACCCCCAACGTATGGCGTGAGTGGCCTTTTCGCCATGGCGATTAAGAGTGCGACCGGGTTGCGGTCTGGCACTGGCACCTCTCTTGCAAGCAGGCCGATGACGCTTCATGTCTCCGTTCGTGCGCAGGGAGGCTTCGGCGGTGGTCGCCCTGCCCGTGGGCAACGGGGTGGTGGTGGGGGCGGAAATGAAGGCAGGGACAGAGGAGGCGGAGGCGGAGGCGGAAGTGGAGGTGGAGCTGCTCAAAGCAAAGGCGGAGCGGCACGACGCACGGTTATCAACAAAACAGGCGATGGTGAGCTTAGCGACTTCACGCGGATCGTGATGCGGGATGACTCACACATTCTCAAGAATATTGTCAAACACATTCCGCAGAATGGTGCCATTTCAGTGAAGAGTCTCCACGCGCAGCTCTCACCTGATGTGCAGGAAGCGATTGCAGAGAAGTACGATGGTCTCAAAAACTTCCTGGAGCAACGCAAGCAACTTTTTGTGGTGAAAACAAATCCTGCGGATGGTGTTTTGTACGCCGCAGCTACTCCTTTGGCGATGCAGAAACTTGTTGCGCGCGAGAAGCAAAGAGAAACGATGCAGGAAATGTTGGGGATAAACAGTCCTGCTGCTAGCGGAAAACGTGGCGGACGCGGCGGTAATCGTGGCGGCGGTGGCGGCGGCAATCGGGGAGGTGGTGGGAACCGTAATAATCGCGGTGATGGCGGTGGCGGTGGCGGTGGCGGTGGCGGTGGCGGTGGCGGTGGCGGTGGCGGTGGCGGCGGCGGCGGTGGAAGAGGTGGATTTGACGGTGGCGGTCGTGGGGGTTTTAGGGGACGCGGAAATGGCGGCAGGATAGGCGGTGAGAGTCGTAGCTTTGGCACGCAGGGGCGTCGCTGAGTTTTTTTCTTGGCATGCATGTGTCCTATGAAGAAACATTTTGGGAAGGGGAAAGCATACTGTGGGGAGATGAAGTTAAATCGAGGTGCGGGGAAGAAGAAAAAGAAAAGGAAATGGGAGCGCTTCAGGCCTTTCCGCGCTTCTCTTCCGCCCCGTTGTCCGTATGTGCTTTCGTGCCAGCGGTTCTTGTTGACTGATGGACGGTGGCCGAGTGCGGAGTCATTTGGGAGGCGAATGCGTGCGGACTAATCGTTGCCACCCTTTGCACATTTTTGTTCCCTGCAGTCAAATCAGAAGTGATAGAAGGCACCAGGCGAATCAAGAGGCATGAAGTGCAGCTGTAGATCCCGCACACACCACAAATACCGCCACCAATTTGATTTATTATTATTTATTTATTTATTTATTTATTTATTTTTGAGGGGGAACTTTTTATTTTTGTGGTTGTTGTTTTTCTAATTCTGCTTGTGTGTGTGTGTGTACGTGTATTTTTTTATTGTTTGGCGGAATGGTAGCGAGGCGTTTTGCGGAGACGGGAGGTGGAACGCGAGGAACAGAGAGAATGTTTTGTAGGGGGGTATTTTTTAAGTAGAAGCAGAGGAAGGGAGTTGATTCCCTAACGAGAAGGTTGAGGAGAATCAAATTTTTATGAAAATTGCCTGTCGGTGTGTGTGTGTGTTTGGTTGAGCGAGAGGAGGCGTGATGCATAGGCGTTTTTGAAGAAGGTGGGGAGGTGGCATCCCACTCTTCCCTTTCCCTCTCCTTTTTGCGCTCAATGAAGTCATGCTACGTCACATTAATGCCCTTTTAATTTTGTCTGACACTCGGAAGCGCCACTACTCACTGCTGGAGGTGTGCCCGTATGTGCGATTTATTTTTTCTCTCCCCTGGTTACTGTGCTTCCGGTAAGCCTTTTTGCCTTGTCTTCTTTCCTTCTTTTTTACTCGGCGTGTTGCGTATGACGTAGTGTGAATCAACGAGCGAGGGAGAGAGTGTAGGGTGGTATATTACATTGTAATTGATACACATGGGGATGTTTGTGGTGGGTCGCGGGGCATTGAGGTGGAAGGCGGTGCCACAGTTATTGACGCACGCTGGCAGAGGAGGCACCACCACCCGCGGCGTCACGGCGTGCGTGCGGGGGATATGGTCACTGCCGTTTGTCTACCACGTGAGCGGCGCCGTCGTCACGCAACGTCGACTTCACGCCACGTCGAGTGGCGACGGTGAATCAACGGAGAAGGGCGCGTCGACATCGGGGTCGTCTGACGCACCGGCAGCTTCCGCGACGGTGTCGCATCAGGAGGCGATGGAAAGATTGTTGGAGGAGGTTCAAGTTGTGCTAAGCCGCCCCGTGCCGATCGGCTCACTCTTTCGCGCCCTGTCCCCTACAAGCCGGAAGACGCTGGTAAAGAACAAAGAGCCGCTGGAGCAGTTGCTTATGCGCTACCCAGAGCATTTTGCGTTGTATCAGCAGGGCAATGTGAAGAATAAGATTATTTACTGCGCTCCGCCACATTTGGTGCCGCCTACTGCGCGGCGAATGGTTTTTGAGGAACCTCCCGTGGTTGCGGCGGTCTCCTCGTCATCGGCCCAATCCAAAGATGGGAAGGGAATTAATGAAAGAATCTTGCAGCACGACCCCGTTGCAGAGAGGCAGAAGCGAATTAACACCGTCCTGCAGTACATCCCAAATGAGTGGTCTGCTTTTACAGACCTCAATATACCGGAGGAGGTGCGGGTAAAATGCATGGGAAAGCCGTCTCTGAGGGCCTTCCATTACTTTGAGAAGTATCCGCAGTACTTTGAGGTACGGCAGCAGGGGATTACAGATCATTCGTTTTACGTGCGTCGCTCTTTGGCGCTACAACGAAAGACGGAAAAGCCACCTTGAAGTTGGTTGTGTGTGTGTGTGTTGCTTTATTGATTCTTTTGCCGCTGCTTCTCATTTCTGTTTCTAGGGAAATCCCAAATGGAGAAAAAAAAAAAAAAAGAAAGGAAAAAAAGAGAGAAAGAGGGGGACGAAAATAAAAGGAATTTGTAAAAGCAAACAATGGTGGGTGTTTTTGTTCGTTGTCTGCGAGAGTCTCTCTCTCTCTGTGTGTGCGTGTGTGTGTGTATGCGTCATAGATCTGTTTTCTATTAAATCGCCGTATTGAGGATAATTATTTTTTTATTTGCATTTAACCGTATAACCATATGAGCAGGAAATGACTGCTGGTAGGGAGATACAGCACGGCATACATATATATATATATATATATATATATATGGATGGATGTGTGATGTTTTGAAAGGTCATGTTATGTAGTTGTTGCTTACGTTTACCGTCACCGCTGTCTTCCGTTTTGTATTTGGGTGGGTGTGCAATACTTGGGATTCCTTTCTTTTTTTTTTGGGGGGGGGGGCTGCCGTTATGAAACGTGGAATGAAGGGAATTGACGGGAGATCCAGAGCGCAGGTCCAACAAATCCCAAAGGAAATATATATATATATACATATATATATATATATATATATTTGCGTTCTTTTTTTTTTTTTTTTTTGGTTGCTTTTTGGTGAGTGTGTGACTGTCTCTTTGTCTCTCCTGAAAGGAGGAGTGATCGAGAGGTGTGGGTGGTTAAATGGCACGGCATGAGGATGAGGACACTTCGCATGACTTCTGGTGGTCGCATCGGCGGCTTTCAGAGGAGGAGGAGGCGATCCTGACAGGATCCTCCATGGCAGCGATCGATATTTCTGCGTCTATAGACACGATTAGGGCGAAAGCTCGGAAGATGTTGGAAGCAGTGGCGACAAAGAACGGCAGTGACACGATCGAAGGGAGTGTTGCGGAGATAGATGACGCACGAATAGCGCCGTGGCACGAAGAACTTGCTGTTCTCCGAGATCAGCTGCTGGATGCGTTACTGGCCTCGCAACAGGGGCGGCAAGCGAGGGCGCAGGACGAGACGGTGCGTGGAGGCGGTACCGTGGTTGAGCCAGACACGTCTTCGCTCCGCCGAACCTCCCACGAGATGCTGCTCCACGCCGTATTTGGTGAGTGGGCCGCCCTTTGGGCTTCCAACAAGGAGGCGCACGGCGGTTTGCTCTCAGAATCGCTTTTAGACATTTTTCTTGACGGTATTGTTTACACACATGCGGCCAAATGGAACGGTGAGGAGGCAGAGGAGGCAACTGGCGGCACGATGAGGGACGTGGTGTGGATGTTTGTGAGGGACACTTGGGGCATGACACCTATTGAGCAGGAAAAATTGTTGCCACGACTCGTGCAGCATGCGTGGGAAGCCTTTATTGCGGAAATGCAAAGGCTGGAAGAGGAGGTGCTGCGTGTGTGCACAGCGGTAGTGGAGTCACCCAATGCAGAGGTGGCAGCGCACGAGCGACAGGGTGAGGCCCGCACACTTGTCACGAACGCGGTTCGGGTGCTGAGGATGTTGGCGTCTCCTTCAACCCCCGCGGAGGCCGCATCGATGAGGGACACGTCCCATGCCCATGTTGTGGTGGCAACCTCCGCTAAGGCAAGACGAGTGGTGCAGATGATTGGTAGGTGGCTTCCCGTTTGCTGCGACTTTCTTCACGCACTCGCACCGCGGCAGGATAATAGTCGAAAGGAGGAAAATGAGGTAGGGAAATGTCCAGAGGGAAATAACAAAGAATGCAGTGACACTGCCGCAACCCCAGAAGCGGTTGAGTGGATCCGGCAACTGAAGGGGCAGGTGGAGCGTGTTCTCCGGCTCTTGGCTCAGTCGGATGAGACTTCGCCGTGGATACTGATTTTCGTAGATATCATCGCACGCGTCTTTTACGTGACGACTAAGGACACATTGCAGACCAACGGCGACGCAGATGCTGAGGTGAGACAGCATATAGCACTTAAATCCTTCTTGACTTCCTATGAAAAGGGCGATGATGTGCCACCCGCAGCTGCCTTAACAGGTCACTGGACGCTTGCAGAGGCATGTAACATGAAGATAAGTCACGTCTTGTCATGTGCACTGGACAAAACAGGTTTCCCAAGCAGTCTCAGTACTCGCGTACTGCGTGTGTTGTTAGTGCAGCGTCCGATAGCCACGCTGCGGCACCTGTTAACTTTCTTGTGTCCCGGCAACAACGTGGCGGCGTTATGTGACTGTGAGCCCGTGATCACCGATAAGGGAAGTGCCAGTGATGCGCGTTCCATGGCGTTTATGGAAGAGCCGTTGCAGGAGAATGCCGTGGCGAGGACATTTTTCCCGAAGTTTTTTTCCGTCTTTCGGGCTATAGAGCAGGCATTGGAGAGTCTTTGTGGGGATCTGACGGGCCACGACTCGGATGCCGATGCCGTGTCACTCATTCTGGATCGATTTTTGGCAGCCGCAATGGATAAGGTCTTCACGACGGGCTTTGCGCAGGAAAAAGGCGTGGCGGCGAGCGAGTGGCTCATGTTTTTAGCATTCATATGTCACGATATGCCTCTCTTTGACGTCAACGCGCTTCATCACGTTCGCAACGCCGCTCGTCGCTTCTTTGCGCCAGGCAGGCCCATGATTTCATACCTGCACGAGCAGATTGTAAAGCATGGGCGCCATGGCCTTACTGCCTTTTTTCTTCCGCCGCTACGGGCGATTGGTGTGGATTACAGCACCTCCAGTGATCAAGAGCATCTGGGTTGTGCCCTGCGCTACCCGCTTTCGGCAGAGGTGGCGTACTTTCAGGAGCTGCCGCGCGGATATTACTGTCGCCAGCCACTACGTCTTGCGCTGAATGCAAAGAACGACGCGTTACACTTTTTTCACGACCTTCTCATGCCACCAGTGGTGGACGTGCTTTCAAAGAATTCTCCCATTGTGGAAAGGAAACTGAAAGAAGAGGACCGGGTGGCGGTGCGGGATAGTTTTGTCGACATGATCGTTCATATTGGAATTTTTGTGTTGGCGCGCGTGCGTGGTGACGCCGATTTCCCCCCCGTGACGGACACAGTGACGGCAGACGCGATGTCATCTTTTTTTTTCGGTATCTTGCGGCTGTGCAGCACTGTCACTTACTGGGATGCTACCAGGCGACATGAGATTCAGCGTGCCATTGTCAAGCAACTCTGTGCAAAAAGCCCCGCCGCATCGAACCCCACAGCGACTTCCGGCAACAAAAGGCAAAACGGTGGCAGTCACAGAGCAGGGGAGAGAACGGCACCGTTGCCAATGGCATTTCTCCTTCGTGGCGGCTGTACGCTGGGGGACGGAGACGCAGAAGCGGGTGGTGTGTCGGAAGGGGAAACGGAATTGCCGCAAGCCTGGCACGACTGGTTCTGCAACGTGGAGCTTGAAGATATTGATGCACGTGCGGGAGTCTCGGCGATGACGCTCCTGCGGATTTGTAATCGCGGCTACATGAAAGTTATTCCGACAAGGACGTTACTGGAGCGTCGGGCCACGCTGGAGCAGCACGCCAGAAAACAAAAGGAGTCAGGTTCACGGGAAAAAGTTGAATCTGCAATGGAGGCAGCGATTCTGCGGGATGTGAAGCGGCTGCGTGGACAGCGGGACGGTAACGCGGGGAAGCAGACAAACTCACAGGATCAACCGGCTGTGAAAGAGAAGGTTTTGGCGGGGGATGAGATGAAGGCGGAGAATGGGGTTGAGGAGAATGGCAAGGCGACGGTCGTCAAGGCTGAGAAGTCAGATGACAACAAGGGGGAGAAGGAAATATCAATGCCGAAGCCCGATGAAAAGCCGCTTCCCATCGCGGTAGTGAAGCCGTACATTGAAGCGATGGTTGTGACACTCATGCAGCGTGCCCGTATTTCTGTAGTGGATGGCGCTGCGGCTGGTGTGGCCCTAAAAAAATGGCTTATGGCGGTCTCGGGACGATTCGAGCCGCAGGCCCTTTTGGAGGTGGTGCGTCGGGTGGTGTTGCAAGCAAACACCAAACTGACGCACGCCACGAAGCTGGAGTGTGCTTCACTATCCGCTTTTTTGGGGGCCGTTGCGGAAGACATTGTGCTGCCGTACAAACTGAGCTTTCTTCCTTGCAATCCCACGCATACGAAGCAGCAGCGTCAACAGGGAACTGCGCCCGCCGAGACGAAGGAGAAGGACAACAGCAACGAGTGGCTCCATAAAGTCCTTCCATTCTCGGAGAAGGATGCTGGGATGCTGCTGCGTGTTCTCATTGCCGACACGACACGTGCTGTGACCCGCTTTTTGGAACACGCCACGCCACTTGGGGACTGGAAGGCGTACATACTCACGTTTCACATGCGACGCATTATGGGCCTTCTTGCTCGCTATGAGTCGGCATACCGTGCGGCGTTGGCAAGGAGACTGCAGCAATTGTGTACAACGTCCGTTGTCATGGAAGGCACCCACCCCGTCCAGCTGTTGGCGGCAGTGGAATGCCCTCTGCTTGAAAAGATGACACGACCAGCAGCTGATGTGGACCACCTATTCACAAGCGCAATGCCAACAGCACAAGAAACACCGGTGCCATTATCATCATCCACTTCAGGGACGCAGATGAACTCAACAGCCGCCTTGGGAGGAGGCAATGGTGGCAACACTAGCAGGAAAAGCTGGTCGAAATCTGTGGACGCATCCAAACGGAAGAGGCAACGCTCCTCTGACAACTCCCATTCTCATCGTCACGGACGCCGTAGGAACGGCCCTCGCGATCAGGAAGAATGAAGGCATGTGTTTTGTTTTTTCTGTGTTTCAAGCTCCCGTGTTTGTGTGTGTGTGTGTGTGTGTGTGTGTGTAAATGTGAGAGGGATGGAGAGTTATAAACACACGCGTCCACAATTCCTGGCGCCGTTGGATATTAGACGCATACACACGAATAATGCAAGAAAAGAGGAATAAACTAAGGAAAAAAAAAAAAAAGAAGAAAAGGGAGGGCTGGCAAACTCTCCATTTGTATTGCTTTTTGACGTTCTGTGCTTTATTTGTTTTCGTGCTTGGGAGTAGAAGTGACTCTCTTCCTCTCGACCCAATTGCTGACCGAACGGTTTGCCTGTTCGCGGATTCTCGTGCTCTCTTATTTGGGGAGCTGTTGGGGCGATGAAGCGTATGGACGAAGTGGTCCCGGTAACGCAAGGAGCGAGAGAAGCAAATAAATGATGTCTTTTGTTTGTTTTTGTTTTTTTTTTCTTTTATGGACTTGTGTCGTTAAAAAGGGGTGAGAAGATGTTTTTTTTTTTTTGGTTATTTTTCAATTCTTTCATGTTTGTTTCTTTCGTTGTTGCCTCCCGAGTAATTTTGAGTCGTACACAACCCACTCACTTGTTTACAGGCGTCCTTGTGCTAAATCAAATAACACACAGACATACACTACCTAGAAAAGAAAGGTTTTATTTTTAACAAGAGAAATTTTAATTAAAATGCGCCGTCTTGCTGTCTCTAGGCTTTTCTCCGCTGCCATCACGACTCGTGCGTTGACGACGTTGACAGTCCGTGAAGCGCTTAACAAGGCCCTCGACGAGGAGATGGAACGTGACAATAAAGTATTTATCCTTGGGGAGGAAGTAGGCCAGTACCAAGGTGCGTATAAGGTGACCAAGGGACTTTTGGACAAGTACGGCACCTCGCGCGTTATTGACATGCCCATCACGGAACACGGTTTTACTGGCATGGCAGTCGGTGCTGCGATGAGTGGCATGCGCCCTGTGTGCGAATTCATGACGATGAACTTTGCGATGCAGGCTATTGACCAAATTGTCAATTCTGCGGCGAAGGGGCATTATATGTCCGGTGGTCAGTTGTTATGTCCGGTGGTGTTCCGTGGCCCCAATGGCGCCTCTGCTGGTGTTGCGGCGCAGCATAGCCAGTGCTTCGCGCCGTGGTATGCCTCCGTGCCTGGGCTGAAGGTGTTCGCGCCGTACAACTCCGAGGACGCGCGTGGGATGATCAAGACGGCCATTCGGGACGAAAACCCGGTTGTGGTTCTTGAGCATGAGCTCATGTACGGTGAGTCCTTTTCGGTCTCGGATGAGGCGATGGGGGAGGACTTCCTTATTCCCTGGGGCAAGGCGAAGGTGGAGCGGGTCGGCCAGCACATTTCGATGATTGGCTTCTCTCGCGGCGTGGAGCTCTGCCTGAAGGCGGCGGATCAACTCGCGAAGGAGGGGATTGAGGCGGAGGTGATCAACCTGCGCTCTCTCCGCCCGCTTGACCGTCGGACGATCATCGAGTCCATTATGAAGACGGGCCGCGCCATGACAGTGGACGAGTCCTTCCCCGTCTGCAACATTGGGGCGGAGATATGCGCCGTCGTCATGGAAAGTGAGGCATTTGACTACCTCGACGCTCCTATGGAGCGGGTGTCGTGCGCCGACTGCCCCACGCCGTACGCGAAGGATTTGGAAGTGGCATCGCAGCCGCAGGTGTCAGATGTTCTTGCCGTAGCCCGCCGTGTCCTCAGCTGAACGGAGGAGCTTGGATTTCAAGCAAGTAGGAGAATTAAGAAGAAAAAAGGAAAAAAAGGGGGCTGGTGAGTGGAGGATGAAGAGAAAAGGGAGGAGGAAAACCAAGGAATGAAAACGGAGAGATGGCGGTGGCAAACAATTGAAAGGATGGGACTCCGTAGTGTTGAGGAGGGGAGGGAAGTGAAATGATGTATTTGTGCCTACGTAGACGAGCAGCGCGGATACAATGAAGAGCCAATATTACGCCATGATATAACGATAAGTTTCCTCACGCAAAAACACACACATATATGTGGACATGTATACATACATGTATACATGTATGTGCGTCTGTCTGGAGGTGGTGGAACTGCGGAAATGGCTCAAGCGGCATGAGTCTGCGTCGTGTTTTTTAGTAATGAAGAGGGAGGAGGACGAGGAGGATGACATAATGAAAATATATATATATATATATATATAACTAAAATAATTAACACGTAAGGAGGGTGGATGGAGGAAAAGGGCATTTAGATAGCAATGCTCTGGGGAGAGTAAAGAGAGAAAATGAGGTTAGAGGTATGTGTCTACACGTTAAGATACATACGTGCATTCATGCCTACACACACTTTACTTGAAAGATTAGGCGTACGTAAAGATGCCAGGGAAGGCAAAAAAAAAAAAAAAGAAAAAAAAAAGGGAACAAACAAAAACAAAAAGGATGAAGGAGGGGGGAAGTAAAGAAGCACAACAAAAACAACAACGAAAAGAAAAAGAAAAATGGGAGAAATAGACAGAGGGAGAGGGAGATTTGGGTTCATGGACGGTCTAATATGAAAGGGGGACTCTGGCGGGAATGGTGGAGTTCAAACACCGAAATTTTATTTTGGCTTTTTTTTGTTTCTTTCATTTCTTTTTTTTTTGTTTGTTTGTTGTTTGTGCGTCTGTTTTTTTGACTCTTTGAATATCGTCTTTTTTTTTTTTTTTTTCTTTAAATGGACTTAACTTCACGTTCCTTCAGAGGACTCCCCAAATCCCCTTCTTTTCTTCCTTCTGCCTCTTTGGTATTTTCCTCATTCTTTCTTTTTTTCTTTTTTTTTTTTTTTTTTTCGGAGGAAGGGAAAAGGAGGAGGAAGGGGGCATATGTGTGGTGCACACGGGTTGATGATTTTTGTTCCTCATTTGTGATTAGTGGTCTATGAAATGATGATTTCTACGCCTTCTATTCCCGTTTATGACGGTCTGTTTGTACGGGGGAAGAGGGGGAAGGTCTTTGCTGCGGGATCCACTCTTCCTCGCTTTCTCTCTTTATTATTATTTTTTTTTCTTACAAAATGACGTACACTGTGTTTGCATGTATGCATGTATCTTCCTCTATTTCTTTTACTCTTGTAGTTTATTTTTGTTGTTGTTGTTGTGTGTTGTTGAGGGGTACATGTTGACGCATTATCTGCGGCGGCGCGTTTCAGTCATTACGACAGATGGTCGCTACCTTGTTGGCGTGCTGCATGCCGCCGATCAGCTGCTCAATGTTGTTCTCACATCCTGCGTGGAGCGCGTATTTGACGAGGCGAGGGAGAACGCGGGTGGCTCACGGGAGCAAAAAGAAAACCAACCCATGAGTAGCAACGATAACAGCAGTGGGGGCAGGATGCAGGAGTTGCCTATGGGCGTGATGATGATTCGTGGGAGTGATGTGGTCTGTGTGGCGGCTGTCGACACGGTGGAGGAGGCGAAGTTGGGCATTAAATCATGGCGTGGACGTAACCTTCCAGCTGTGGAACGTGTGCCACGTGCAGCAGCACCAGCGGTGTCATGAAGCAGGAACACGAAAAGGGAGGAGATGAAAGCGAAAGATGGACTGGAAGTTATGTGTGCGTGTTGCACGAGGGCCGCGTTGTGCGCGTCATATTGCATTACGATTATCTACATGGAGGAACTGTGTGTCTGTGTGTGAAATCAAGAAGAAGAGAACATCTGTACTTACCACCATCACACACACACTCTCTCTCTTTTTCTCTTTCTCTCTTTGTCTCTTGTTCCGTTCACTTTTCCTCTCCCTTTTTCATCGCTCCTTCTCTTTGGATGTCACCTAGGTGTTTGTACGAGAGGGAAGGGCAAAGGTCGGCAGTTGTAACTGTGCGGAGGGAAAAGAGACACGCTGGGGAAGTGTGATAGGGCAATGTACACATCACTGAACAGGCATTATCCTGACCTCTTGCGCACATTTTACAAGAAGTCGCTGCAGGGGGTTGCTCGGAGCGTCCCGAAGGGTAAAGGCGGTACCTCCAAACGCTTCGGCAGAGCAGGGAAGACGGCGAGGAAAACAGAAGCTGGAGAAGAAGAACCAACGGTCGCAGATCGCACGTCCGACATCGAGAGTGAATTGGAGGAGTTCCCACCGTATGTGGATCCAACAGAAGAGCAAGAGGTCTGTCTGGACCCTATTCGTGCACTGAGGATTCCACGCTCACGGTTTCACACGGTGAGAGAGCTGACGCTCTGTCGCAAGGGTATCACGCGGCTCCACAGTAATGTGCAGTTATTAAAAAATCTAGACACACTTATCATAAGACATAACCGGCTAAGACAAATTGACTTTCTGATTCCCCCGAGAAATTCTCGTGACGTCTTTTCAGACTCGAGAGTTCATGAAGAAAGTGCGCTTGTTGACATTCCTCATGGCACATTACGGGGCTGTCGTTTTCTACGACGCCTCTACGCCTCTCACAACTGTCTGCAGACACTGGATGGCGATGTACCCTATCTGCGATACCTCGAGGTGTTGTTTCTTGCGCACAATCGTCTCAGCAATCTTAACGCCGTCTCCGCTCAACTGAGGCCCCTCAAATGTCTTCGCGAGCTGGACCTGCGTGGGAACCCCCTATGTGACGAGGAGGGGTACCGCCTCTTTTTGATTCACGAGCACCCACACCTCGAGGTGCTGGACCGTCGCGTTGTGCGGGACGAGGAGCGCAAGGAGGCCATCGCGTACTTTGCTTCCGGCGCCGGTGGGGCGGGTCGTCACAGGGGCCATGGACACCACGCCACAGGCAGCGTTGCGGAACTCGCGGAACCGGCGACAGGGTTGCGGCTAACACTGACGGAGCAATTCTCGGCGGGGGAGAGAAACGAGGAGAGGAACGACGTGAACTCCACCAAAGGGAACAAAAAGGATTCCGGACTTTCTGCGATGGAACAGCCGTTGGTATCAGCTTTTTCAAAGCAACGGATGTCAAATGCCTCTGGTGGGACGCGGCAGAATGAGAAGACGAAGTTTTTGGTGGC